GCACGTGAAAATAAAAATACAACAATAATTTGAAAACCAAATGAAAATTCACATGCATTATGGAATCACCAATCATTTAATGGACCTACAAATTGTGGAGTACATTTGGGACATTCACATAAATTGATTGTTCATGTAATACTGTATATCCACATGTGCAATTACTAGTGCCACAGTGCCACTAGTTTTTGTTCAGCTTAATTAAGAATGGAAAAAAAAATAAAAATAAATAAGGGATAAACTATAGTATTTTTTTTTGCATGGGAACTAATTCTTTACAACTTCTATTATACTCGTTTTTAGCTTTTGCAACCTTAACAGTTAAAACAAAATTATTAAGGTTGCAAAAGGGACATAGTAAAAGTTAAAACAAATTATCTTGCCTTTTGCATTTCCCCAAAATTATTAGCTAAGTGATAAAATCAAATTATCACCAGCAGTTAACTTGATACAAAAAGACTTTATATGCTCAAATAAACTTAATTGATTGCAATTTTCTCTGTATTCTTAAAAGATGCGACATTACTCGTCATATATTAAACCTAAAAAGTTAAGTTATAAATAACTAAACAAGTTGACTACAAATTTATGTAATGGAACAAACCAAATTACGTGTGAAGAGTGAAGACATTGTTGAGAAGAACACGCAAGAATTTAAGGTTAAGAGCCAAATGTGATTTATTAATTGATTTTAGTTAGTTAGTTAGTTACGTATTATTTTCTAAAGAGAAAATAAATGTGTTTCAATTAAATAGAGGAACATAAAAGATTGATAAAATATATGTCACTAAATTAATTTAGTTGAATGGCTCACGTGAGGAGTATGGGTTACATTATGGTCGGTTAGCCATGCTTCTATTGTACAACCAATAAATGAGTCCAACACGTAGTCTAATATTTCCATTGGTCCTTATGATTCAACTAAGGTACATTTGTCATATTATTGACCGAACTTCAATAATAAAACCAAAATCTACTCTCAACATGCTAACTTCTAAATCTTAGTAGAGTACGTTTTTGTGAACATATTCGACTAAGCTTGTTCGAGCCTTTATAAGAGAGTCTAGCTATATTTGTGAATAATTCGAACAACAATTCTACTCGAATGTACATTCAATTGGATGATGGGCACATAAATTCACATACTAGGTAACCACAAAACGTAAATTTAATAAGCATGACAATATATTCTGTGTGAAGTATATGTGAATTGTAACGTGAACCGAGTTAATCGCGGACACAACATTCAACTCGTAAGAGCTAGAGTTCAGTTAATTCGTTATTTAAACAGGTCGAACTCGAACAGCTAACTGAGCTTGTATATATATTAAACGAATCCAGTCGAGTTTGTAAACAATTCATTTTTCACAAATTTTAAATGGAATACTCGAATCAATTTTTTTTTTGCAAAAGAACATTTCATGGTTTGCGGACAAATATTTCCCAACAAGATTATTTGAGAATAAAAACAACCGAAAATAATTTTTTTTTTAAAAATGATGAGTAAAAAAGGCTTCTTGAATTTCAGCACGGTTCAAGTCCCCATGAGAATCTATCAGCCACTCGTGTCTCGTGCTATCTGTCACAATCTACAGTCAATTTCCAAATCTTGATTTGGATATAGATTAGTCATAATAATTTGGTGATAAGTCTTTTTTCTTTCTTAAAAAAAAAATCGAAACTACTATTAAATTACATTATTGGAATCAACTGATAACAAAAGAATATCGAATTAATTTAAACAATCAGATATGATATATATATATATATATATATATATCTTTGTCAAAGATAAAATTAAAAGCAAGCCTTATTTGTTTATTTAATTGGACTTGTTATTATAAAATGAACCCTCCTTTTACCGTATTTGACAATGCCAACCCAACTTTCAATCTACCTCTGCGTTTCAGTCAAAATAATTTTGTTTTGTTGGTNTCATTTGTACCAAAAAAAAAAAAAAGAATTAAATCATTTTGCAAACCTATTGTATTATGTGTGTGCTTAATTTATAGTTTTCCAATTGCTTGCACAAGATCTGAATTAGTTACCTAAGATAACTTTTGCGTATTCTGTTGGAATTTCGACGTACGAATTAATCGTACGTGCAGCGGAATTTTAAAATTTTCTTACCAACAACGAAGATCCGGCTATAGCTATATATTCGATACGATCCTAGATCGCGTGAATGATACACGAAAACTTACAGTTTAAGCTTTGTCTTCAATTATGGTATCCACGCAATCCAGATCCCGGTGCACGATCCAACGCAATGAATCCTTTCTGGTAAAGACGCTAGGAATCCTCAGTCAGAAAGCCAGAGTTGTTTTGTGTTGTAGTATCTCTTTTCTCTCATCTAATGATTTGATACTCGTCTAATGAAGAGATAACTACCTATTTATAATTAGGTTAAACCTAATTATATGGGCTTTAGGATAACCTAGCCCAATAGGTAATTGGACCCAATCCAATTAATGATTTAATTTAGTGTAAGTCTAATTTAACTTAACTAAATATTTTTTATCTAATAGAAAATAATCTCATTACTCAAAATAAATATTCCAATCTAATTGAATATTTAACACGCTCGATTCACTCTTAGCCGGAAAATAGATTGCATATTGTGTGACTCTATAGGCCTTCATATATTGACATAAATCTAATTTATGATCCTTACGAAACTCCTAAACTGCGTCGAAGGACGAACTCAAAATATGAAGTACGTTTATATAGACAAAGCAAACAAACCTTTGGTGTAGAATTCAATAGTGATACGGTCCCTTCATTATGAACCACTCGATTAAGCTTAGGATTTGAACGTGTGTCTATCCAAACAGCTTAATCATTTTATCTCATCTCACTGGTTGATTTTATCAATTATATTTGAACACCACTTCAAATATAATCACTTGCATTGGCCAATGACTTTATCAACTCAGTATAGAGAAAACGAGTGTTCTCTCGAAACTATATTCGAGGAATGAATCCTATCTTGGTTCAACTACCAATTCCATGTATATCATAATCTACCCAACACAAGCCCGTATCTACCCATAGGGGCGTAAGCTTTGGACTAGGTCTAAGTAAATCACTCTATACATGAATTGCGTATTGACCTCAAGTCAAAGGACTATTACACCATTCCACACACCGATACTCCCTAGACACATAAACAAATGGTTTATCGGTAGGGTATATCAATACTCTCCAAAGTATCCATGTGTCCATCACGAATAACAATTATTCATAGTCGTGAGACATACTATATTCTCTAAGAATGTGATGCAGACCACATGTCAATCTATCGCGTATCATTAATATCCTTTTTCTTAATGATCATCGATTGAGGCGATTTGAGAGTTATACTTTATCAGTTAACATCTCACTCTGCTAATGACAGTATTAACTCAATGGAGCAATTAATTAATAAATTGCAAACAATCAAATAATTAATTAATTAATTGCAGTACCATAATTATAATATAATTGTTAATGTGATCATGTATATATGTCCTCAAAAAGATTGTCTCTAGGACACATATACCAACATATTCCATTGGGTAGTTCACTCATATTCACACCATAGGCGCATGTATATATATATATATATATATATATATATATATATAAATCAAAGATGGTACTTAGTTCCTTGTAGTGCCGCTTGAGGCTGCCGGCCGGCCGGCGGAAGGAAGGATGGAGACGAAGAGACTTTTCTTCTGCTAGGAATTTTGACCGAATAGGGGAGAGAGATGTGGTGTTGGTATACCAGTTGTAAGTTGTCCCACATTGATTCTACAGGGTAAATAAGTCTAGTGTATAATTTTAGTGGGCTACTCCTCCCATCATCAATTAGTTTTGAGATGAAACTCCACTTAGGTGCATCTTATGTTCTAAAAATTGGCTTAGGCGGCCCTAGGGGCTGCCCGACCGCTCTAACTTGCATAAATCGGCTGAAAAAATTAGTCATGTGGTTAGAAAATGCCTAGGCAGGCCTAAGCGGATCTAGGCCCTCCTAGGCGGGCTCGACATAAATTTTTTAATTTTTTTTTAAATTTTTTTAAATACTAGTTACATTATTTTGTTATCATGTTTTCTTTATAATATACTAATATTATTATTTGGACTTAAGTGTGTTGGTTTATTATAAGTTGATATAGTTTTATTTTGTAGGTAGTAAAAATAAATTAAAAATGAGGTATTTAATCTTAATATCTAGGCCCCGCCTAGGCGCTCTAGGAGTTTGGCGCTGGTCGGGTGCATAGCGGGCGCCTAGCGACTTCTAGAACACTGGGTGCACCTAAGGGTGTGCATCGGTCGGTTCGGTCGACCGACCGAATTGAATCAGAAAAACCGAAAAAACCGAACCATACTATGCCAATAACCGAAACCGACCGAATTATTAATTAAACCGAACATTAACTGACCGAACTTCTTGGTCGGTTTGATCAAACCGACCGAACTATGCATTTTAAAATATATATATATATATATATATAATATGATTAATATATAATATAATGTATACAAATATATATATATATATAAATTATTCAGTCAGTTCGGTTATTTCGGACATTTGATGTCTGAAAACTGACACCGACCGAAATAAATGAAAAATCATTCGACTAAAATAAAAAACCAACCGAGTCAGATAAAAATCGAATCGAAATTTTAGATTCGGTCAGTTTTTTCGGTTTTAGTCGAATTATGCATACCCCTAAATGCATCTAGATTCACCCTCTTATGGTGCGTTTTATTTTGTGTGATTGCATCTTCTTCCCCATTTCTAATATGTGGGTAGTTCTAATATTTTATTTGGTGTGCACTTAGTTCTAGAAAATGAAAAATAATTTTATTTTTTTTTCGGAAAAAAAATGGCAAAGGGAGGCCCCAACGACCCAAGAGCCAAAAAGGCATGACTCTCACTGCAATAACTTGAATTAAAGAAGCTATATTATATAGCGCACTACCATATTTTTCTCTCCCTATCTACTTCATGGCGGGCGGAGAGAGAAATAGAGATGCCCGCATATTACTTTCTGACAACCTCCGACCGCCGCTAAATTCTTGAAAAAACAACCACAGAAAGAAAAGGAAAAAAATAATAGAAACCCTCAATTATGCAGTCCGCAGTGATTCATAACAACCACAGCAAAAAGCAACCATTTCTTTCTCCACGAGCTCTCACTTGCCAAGATTGGCAAAATTATAGATAAATAAGTTGCAGCGAGGAGAAAAAGGAGGAACCTTGAAGATCTTTTTTCGTTTTTTTTGGGGGGGAAATGACTCAGATGGTGGTCACTGGCGGCGGAGAGAGCTCCGACGGGCGGACGGTGGTGGTGGGGGTGAAACTGGACGCGCAGAGCCGTGAGCTGCTGACGTGGGCTTTGGTGAAGGTTGCTGAGGCTGGCGATCGTGTGGTTGCCCTTCATGTTCTTGACAACAATGGTGAGCATAAGTTAATTGAATCGTGTGTGTGTGTGTGTGTGTTTATTTTCCTCTTTTGTTTTTTCTTGTTAATTAATTTTTGTTTTTGTAAAAACAGAGCCTTTTTTTTTGGTAACATATATGTATTTTTAGATGAACGTTTGTGATTTTTTCAGCAGCCCTGATTGCAAAGTTCATTAATTTACTTCTTCAATTTCATGTCGAGCTAGTAAATGTAAAAGATTATGTTATGTTTTTGCTTTTCTTGCTTTTGGAACTTGGTTAAATTTTCACATAATGAGGTTTAGCAAGATTTACTTACTATCAAAGCATGGTATTTTTGTGGCTGATCAAATTCTCTCCTTTTGTGGATTTGTGAGTCGCAATTTGATATTGATTGCTTTGATAAAATTGGGTTTTTGCAGAAATTGTGAACCGTGATGGAAAATCGTCCCTTCTCTCAATGGTTAAAGCTTTCGACTCGATCCTCGAAGTTTACGAAGGCTTCTGTAACTTGAAACAGGTGACAACTCTTGCTAATTATCGTCATTCCATCTCTAATTTCGATTCGTATAACTTTTTTTTCATGCTTATAGGAAACAGAAATGGTGAATTTTGTTGTTCATTTTCAACTTTTTCTGTCAAAAACTTTACTGGTGGCCACTGTATGTGACATAAGTGAAAGCTGTGAGTACTGAAGTAAAATTGGAATGTGAGGTCAAAACAATGAAAACATTATTAACATAAGCATGCTATACCAGAGATTCAGAGTGTATAGTAAAATTGTATTTGTAGCATTAATGTAGGAATTTGGAAACTAATATTTTGGACTAAATTTACCATAAAAGTGCAAAGTTATGCAAAACAAAGGAAATTTCGCTGCTAACTAACGAATATGCTTCAGGTGGATCTCAAGCTAAAGATCTGCAGAGGCTCGTGTGTTTCGAAAATCCTCGTCCGTGAAGCCAAAGCTTTTACTGCCTCCGAGCTTATTGTAGGTACCTCTCAAACTCACCACACGATTCGCTCGTCAGCCTCTATCGCTAAACACTGCGCGAAAAAGCTGCCTAAGAATTATTGCTCGATATTAGCCGTGAACAATGGAAAAATCGTTTTTTGCAGAGAATCAAATTCATCCTCTCGTGTTAGCATTAAAGGTATTGTCATGTCCGCTTAATTCATATTTAGAAATCAGGCCTCTCCTTAATTAAGCTAAACTTCCTTTTTTTTTTTATTGAAGCAGAAATCGAGCATCGACATAGGAATCGATTACTAACTGCCATACAGAGATCCTTCAGAAAGAACATTAAAGTTCTCGATAAAGTTGATTCGAAAAGGTTGAGGTTGACTTGGGACGAGAAAAGCACTAATAACGGTCACGGGAACTCGATTTTGGCCTTATCTGAAAATTGTTCGATTTGTTCACCGGATTTGTTGACCGAGGACGATGACAAGAAGAAAAAAGTCAACTCGATGGCTATAGTCCCGGTACAGAAGCTAGAAGCTGCATCGAGCTCGATTACTCTTTTATTACGAGAATTGCCCGAGATGAAGCCCGGCTGGCCTTTACTCCGTAGAGCTATTGTATCAAACGATTGTAATACGCAAGTGAGGCAGTTTTCGGTTGTCCAGTGGGCCCTGAGGCTGCCGAATAGGTACTGTTTGCCGATCGAGAATTCGGAAAATGATTTTTCGGAATGTGAGCTGGAAAAATCGTCTAATAGTTTCGGAATGTCACCGGATAATATGTTTAGAGGCTTACCGGAAGAGCTCGAGGGTCTCGAGGAGAAGTACTCGGCTACATGTAGGTTATTTAGGTTTGACGAGCTCGTGAAGGCCACGTCCAATTTCTTGCCAGGTTTTTTTTTTTTCTTTTTTTTTGTTACTTGAATTAGTTTATTCATTTTTTGTCCAGTAACTTTTGAGCATTTTCTGTTCATTACTGTTGTTTGTCCAATTACTGACAAAAAATTGAAATAAAACTTCATTTGTGAGTATATACCGAACAATTGACAAAATAAAGATATTGTAAGGTTGTGTCTAGTAAGCATATAAGCTAGCTTATAGTTTATTTGATTGGATTATAAGCTTCTTGTATTCAAATAAGTTTGGTTTTGTAGAACGAGGTTTTTTAAGAAGTTCGAGCTTATCTTATAAGCTTCTTTGGGTAACTTTTCAAATAAGCCCATTAAAATTTTTATTTCAGCTAATTTTTGTCAAACACTTTTTATCATATAAGCTAGTTTTTCAAGCATAAGTAATAAGCTATCAGCTATAAGCTCGAAATTCACTTAAAAGCTATAAGCTAACTTATCAGTTATGTTTACCAAACATAGCCTAATTCAATCCTTTGCTGGTGTCGACATTCGAAAAAAAAAAA